CGGTGACACTTCTGCTTTTTGTCAAAGATCCTCAGCACATCCTGAGCCCGTGGGGCGATACGGGCGCTCCGCACCGCGCTGTGCTCAGCGCAGGACCCGCACTGAGCGGACGGCGGTTGTCACCCGCTGGCGGCTGCAGGGCCGGACTGCGGCTCTCGGGGCAGCCGGGACGGAGCGCATCCTTCAATCCCACACCGATATCCCGAAAGAACAACGCTGTAAAACCACCGGGGCAGGTCTCCCTCCTTTCAAACCCAAGCGGCCAAAACTTCTCGAAAATAAAATAGATTTAAACATCAGCCCGCGGTCGGTGCGGTGCCAGCCCTGCAGCAGGGGAAGAGTCCGTCAGAACCAACTTCTCCATTTTGGTTCCGCTCGCTGCGGCCGCAGATCCCCTCCGACAGCCCACGGCGAAGCGGCTTTGTTGGGGCTGCGGACGAAGCCCCTCAGCACCTCTGGGCAGCAGCAGGGGAAAGAGGGGGTGAAAAAAAGGCAGAAAGTTATCTCATCGGAGAAACTTTTCAGAGAGGAAAGTTGGAAAAGCTCCCGTAGAGATCCACTGCGGAGGAATGGGGTTGGGGGGGGGGGGGGGAAAGGAAGAAAAAAAAAATAAATAAAAAAAAAAAAAAAAAAAAAGGTTGTTTCGGAGGGATAAAGAGCGGTTTCTACGCCTCCTCCAGAACGGGGCTGAGTGAGGAGGGCCCGGGGGCCGCCGCGGGGCGGTGGGACGGAGCCCGGCGCTGCGGGCGGAGGTCGCGGTGGTCCCGGGCGGCCGCGGATGAGAAGAGCGCCCGGCGGCAGCGAGGCGCTGCGAGCGGCACTTGCGGCGTCCCGCCAGCAGCGGTCCTCGCTGAGGCGCCGGCGGAATATTCCTGATCCAGATCAATCAGCCGCCCCGGGGAGCCGGGCATGGAGGAAAGCCGGCGGACGGAGCCCCGGCGGCGGCGCGGGGTCGGCCCGCGGGGCGCCGAGTCCCCGCCGAGGGGCGGCGCGGGGCGGGCGGACGGCGGTAATGGCGGCTCGGAGGCGCTGCCCCGCCATCGCGCAGCGGGCAGGAGCGCAGCCCGGCGCTGCCCCAGGTGCCGCGCGGCCCCGCCGCCCGCCTCCCAAACTTGTGCCCAGTTCCCGCCGCGCACTTACCCGGGGCGAGGGGAGTCCCGGGGATGTGGGCGTTCAAGTTGGGTTTGTACGACATTCCCAGCGACATGGCCAGCGGGAGGACGAGAGGCGTCCTGATGGAATTCAGCGAAGCGTCTCCGCGTCTCCCAGACACTTTGGGTTGTTTACAGCAGGAGCGGCACCGGCAAATATGGCCGTCAGTTATATTGACACCCACAATGCAATATATCATCCATACATCACGAGGAGACGCCGATCCCGAAACTTTGGCGGAGAGGAGGCGGCCGCCCGCCCGGCGCCCCGCGCACCTCGGCGCGGAGGGGGCGCGGAGGGGGCGCGGCGGAGGGGGGCACGGCCGCCATCCCCTCGGCAGACAATGGAGCGCCCCTCAGGGCCGTCGCCGCCGGAGGAGCGGGCGGGGAGGGGCGGGGGGAACTGGGCGGCGGCGGGGGGAGCGTTTCGCTCAACTTCGCGAAGTTTGGGCGCAACTTCTGCTCCGAATCGGCCCCTGCCTGCGCCTGGGCGGCGGCGGCGGGAAGGGGGGCGGCGGGCGGGAGCCCCTCCTGAGGGAACGCCTGAGGAGAAAGGCTGAGGCGAACCTCGCGGCGGCCCCGCTGTTTTCTGTGGAAAATACCTGTTGATAATTTCACGATAGCCCCCCACACACACACGCACCCCGACACCGCCCCCGGTGCCTCCAAGGAAAAAAAATCAGCTTTTCCATCCGCCTTCCCGTTATGTGTTTTTTTTGGTTGGTTGTTTTTTTTTTTTTTTTTGCCTTTTGAATCGCTCTCCCTGCCTGCCTGAAGGGTGAAGGTTAACGTGCATTGCAGCTGCTGAGGGATTAACAAATAAATACGGATCCTGCTGATCACTGGCTCATTTTCTGTTTGCAAGCAGCTGTACAGCTTCCCCAACAAATATCTATCCCCCCTCCCCAAATGTTTTGGGTAATAAAGCATTTTACCCTGCATCTGCCACTCAGAACTCCATCCCCTATCGTCCTTCAATTGATTAATTCAGACCAACACAGCTGCTCAGGATATGGATAGCCTCTCCCAAGGCGCACAGCTTCAGCTGAGACCCTCACAGAGATCCCCAAAGGACATCCCATGGAGGGACTCACAGAGGGATCCTGAAGAGAGCTCCATGGAGTGACCCCATGGAATGACCCCACGGCGAGCCTTAGGGAGAGCCTCACTGAGAGACCCCACAGAGTGCCCCCATGGAATGACACCAAAGAAAGTCCCCAAGGAGGGACCCCATGGAGAGCCCCACCGAGAGCCCACATCTGCCTTACCAGGAGCGTTCTGAGACCGGTGAGGGAGGCAGCAGTTTTATTGCACAAGGCAATGTCTGCCTAACGCTATCTGCTGCTTTTAATGCCAGTGACGGCGAGGGCAGGGAGCCCAACTCTGCTCCTTGGAAGTCAGGGGTGAATTCCTTTGAGGTGACGCGGACTGGGGCCTGTAGCATCTCCGGTGGTGGAGTGCTGTGCAAAGGGAGGCAGTGAGCATCCACTGCAGGGGGTGGGCAGGGGGCACTGGGGGAGTTCTCAGCACAGGGAATGAAGGCAGAGCAGAGGCGAGCCAGCTGCTGAGCTCTTCCTCACAAGTGCACGCTGCATGAAAGCAGCATCTGAAAATTAGGGCTGGTGCTGTATGAAGTACACAAATTCGTCACGGTGTTGTATTTTATCTTCAGTCCAAATGCATGACTGCAGCTATTGTGGTGGAACCCAGAATGGCACAGGCGGCTTTTACAACAACAGATCCGTGTTTTTCTCTTAGTGAAGGGACCTGAGAGCCTCAGGCACACAATTACGTGCTCAGTGACAGTATTTTCACACGGGTGCATAAGGCTTTAACTGTGTAATTCTCATTAGAGTCCTGAAAGATTGTGTAGGTAAACCCACAAACCCAGTGCGGCGGCGTTTGGAATTCCACATCCCTCAAATTTCACTGCCAGGTTTATAACTCACTGCCTTTCTGCTGGAAGAGCAGTGAAGTCCTGCAGGAGAGGTGAGAATGCCGCACTGGGATTTTCCATTGCTGTGCAGTTGTTTACAGTCACACCAAGTGAGTGCGAATGGGAGTGTTCTGAGCTCACAGTGTTTTTCACGGCTTTGCATCACCGTGAAGAACAAGTTCCCCTGTGTTTCGCTTGTTTTTGTAATGACGGTTTAAAATTATATGATATGCCGGGACAGGGCTGAGGTAGAATAAGGAAACAATCCTGTAAAATTATCCTTCCTTCAGCATAGGATACTGGTAGCTGTGAAGCAAACTGTAACGTGACTTAGATGGTCATGGCTTTTAGGGCCAGATTATTTGTCCTTTGAGAATCCAGCAATACTGCAGTACTGCAGTCTCTGTATTTTGTGCCTGCTGTGCCATTCTTTGGGCACAGGCAGTAGTGGCAGCATCATAGAATCATTAAGGTTGGAAAAGGCCACTAAGGTCATCAAGTGATCCAGCACACCACCCCTCAGTGCCACATCCCCATGAGTCCTGAACACCTCCCGGGGAGGTGACCCCACCACATCCCTGGGCAGCCTGTGCCAATGCATTACCACTCTTTCTGAGAATAATTTTTTCCTAATATCCATCCTGAAACACATGAGACAGAAGACCCTGGTGAATGACAACCTTACCACTTGACCTCTGAAGCCATGCAAGCTCCAACTGACTTTGCTAGCTGCCTCTCGATTCCTGCAGATACTGCTGACATTGGCTTGCACAGAAAGTACAAATGAGTTTTTCCTATCTGCCATGTGGTCTGTGGATTTACTGAAGTTATTTTGAACTAGCTGTGGCCACAAGAATAAAACCACCACTGTGCTTGTGCCCCAGGCTGGCAGTTTAGCAAGATGACCACAGATTCGAGCTGCCTTATGGGGGCTGCTAGCAGCTTTAAACTTCCTTTGCATCACAGTATGGCTTGCACTGATGAGAGCCGTGTTCTGCACATGCATGCCCTGCATTGAGTGTAACAGCTACAGTTCCAGCAGTGTGCATGCACCAAGCTGCTTACAGCAAGCTACAGGCCTGTGTTCAGCAGACTGATGGCACAGCCTCGTTTACTGACAGTAAAAGCAGCTCTTAATCACCAAGTGGCCAAGTCACAAAGAGAGAAATACAGCAGAGCCATTTTATCACACGTGACATTTTCAAGCCTTCTCCACACTGAGAGGTAATTTAAAAATAAATGCTGCTATGTTTTTCAGCAAAGGAAGATGGACAGAAAGAGGTGCCTGTCTCTGAAATCATCTGCAAGTTGTGCTCACTGCCACAAAAGCTCTTATTTTTTACAGGTACAGCTACCTCATTCAGTGTTAAGATCTGCAGCTTTCACCTTGTCCCCTCCTCCTTTTTCTCTTTGTATTCTCTCTGTTCCCTCTCCTGGTTTGACTTTCTTACCTCTGCTCCTCCCAAGCCACTGGGAGCACTCAGCAGACAGGGTTTCCGCAGTGAGCCTTCCAGCTCCTGCTAAGCCAAATTCTGACCGAGATCGAGGTTTTCCCTTCCTGAAGCTCTGCGGGGTTGGATGCTCTGGCAAGGAGGGTGTAGGGAGTGTGCATGCAAAGTGTGATGTGGGAAGGCAGGGCAGATTGTCAGGGTGCCTCTGAGGCAGAGCCTTGGCCTCTGCTTTGGGACAAACTCGTTTGTCCCCTTGCATCTGGAAATAAAGCTGAATAGTCATCAGCACCTGCAGCACTGTGCTGCACACAGTCAGAGACCTGCAAATGGGTTGCAAGCTAGTATTGTTTCTTCTTGGATTAAGATAACAATGAGAAGAATAAAAGATGGCACAGAGAGACCCTGTTGTTTTTTCCCCCCAGCATGTCTCTGGCAAATATTACATTTGTGCATTGATTTAATAGGCTTCTGAGCTCTAATTCAATCTGCAAATCTCCAAATTGCACTTTTGTGCTAAACTCTGTTGAAAATTCAAAACAAAGTGAAAAGCCTCTGACCTGCCCAGGCTGAAAACACAGCTTTTGAATTCTTCAGTGCGGGTGGATTTAACCTCTTTGAGAAGAGCACAGGTGGTTGATGCACATGCCCAGGCTCCATCCAAATCAGTTGGGCTGCAGGCTGGGAATATGCAGTAAGTGTAGCAGGATTTACCCAGCCTTTGGAGGAAGATATGCAAAGCAGCTTCCTGCAGCGCTGCTTATTTTGGAAGGTACATCCCAGCACCTCCAGGGGCTCAGCACCACAGTTGACCTGAGGAAGCCCAGGCCTGTGCTGCGCTGCACTGTGCTGCACATACAGCCTGGGCTTCAGGCCTGCGCTGTGCTGTGCGTTTCTGTGTCTGCAGGATGAGCCCGGCCAGCTCGCAGCAGGGCAACGTGCAGGCAAGTCCCACTTCAGACTGGTGATTACGCCGCCCGCATGGCCTTACTTTCATCTAGAAGTTCTCATCCGAACATTCGTTCTGTTTGACAGCTGAAATGATGACCAGAGTTGTTTTCTTTCAATAAAAGTCTTTCAATAAAGTCTAATAAATGGGCTTTTTCCACAGACAGGGCCTTCCTGGCATGTTGCACGCCAATCAGAGGACTACTGGATCCAGGTTTTCTGCATCTGAAGGGACGTAAGATTATCTATACCATTGTCTCTTTCTTTGCAGTGTTAGCTCTAGCAAATATTATTTTAAAATGTATTTTACAAAGCCAAGCACCTTTCTTGTAGGATAACATTGAGTCACCACCTCCTGGCACAGAACTCTGCTCCTGAGGCCGCCTGGGACTCTGGCAATTTGTGGGCAAATTGTGCATCTTATTCTTTTTGGATCCATTGTTACTCCCTTATCAGCTTGCTACAGCTCCTCACACTGCTGTCCCTGTTCCCTACAACTGCATCCTCCTGATGGTACAAAGCTTCCTTCCTACTCGATTTGCCCCTGAGAGAAAGCTGATAGCCATCGGTGTGTCCCTCTGCTGTCATCTGTTTTCTGGCTGATGTTAGCTGCTTGCTGCCCCATCCTCATGAAAACAGACAAGGACCACTTGATCCTGAGCAGAAATCCAGATTCCTCAGTTCAACCCTGGTGACTTTGCTCCTCACACCTCCAGATACCAAATATCCAGGGTCCATATCGCTGACCCAGGGAGAAGCAGCCCTCTGAGATCCTCTGCAAAGCAGGCTGCAATGCAATGGAGCCAAGAATGCCACCGCAGCAGCAGCAAGCCAGGCCCCAGGAAATCCTCTTTCAACACCTGGCCCACATCAGCAGACAGGCTTGCTATGATTTTGGATGCAAGTTTGGACACTCAATCCCCATTCCAGACAGACTCCA